AAAAAGGCCAATCTTCATGTTGTGTAATTATACATTTTTGACCATCAAAAGATATACTCAATAGATTTTATTCTGAGTTAGCAAGTCAATTTTATATATGTTTTAGAAAAACAAATTGCCATAAATTTTTCTGGTCATGCTCTTAATAGAAGTACCTTCCTCCTCTTCCCATCGCAGCGGATCCTCTTTGCTTCAGCTGGCCAAGGGCTCTCCTGCCGCCGCCTTGCTGCTTCTCAAAGCTGCTGCTGTCTCTCAAGCCAAGAGGTTTTAAAATGGAACATTTTGATGCATCACTCAGTACCTATTTCAAGGTCTTGCTGGGCCCCCGAGATACCAGAGTAAAAGGATGGTTTCTTCTGGACAATTACATACCTACCTTTGTCTGCACTGTCATTTATTTACTAATTGTATGGTTAGGACCAAAATACATGAAGAAAAAACAGCCATTCTCTTGCCGGGGAATCTTAGTGGTGTATAACCTTGGACTCACGTTGCTGTCTCTCTACATGTTCTGTGAGTTGGTGACAGGAGTATGGCAAGGCAGCTACAACTTCTTTTGTCAGGGCACATGCAGTGCGGGAGAATCAGACATGAAGATCATCCGTGTCCTTTGGTGGTATTACTTCTCTAAACTCATAGAATTCATGGACACATTTTTCTTCATCCTGTGCAAGAACAACCATCAGATCACAGTCCTGCACGACTACCACCATGCCACCATGTTCAACATCTGGTGGTTTGTGATGAACTGGGTACCATGTGGCCACTCTTATTTCGGTGCCACACTTAATAGCTTCATCCATGTCCTCATGTACTCGTACTATGGCTTGTCATCTGTACCTTCCATGCGCCCATACCTCTGGTGGAAGAAGTACATCACTCAGGGACAGCTGGTTCAGTTTGTGCTGACAATCATTCAGACCAGCTGTGGGGTCATCTGGCCATGTGTGTTCCCTCTTGGTTGGCTATATTTCCAGATTGGATACATGATATCCCTGATTGCTCTCTTCACAAACTTTTACATTGAGACTTACAACATGAAAGGAGCCTCTCGGAGGAGAGGCTACCAAAAGGACCACCAGAATGGATCTGTGACTGCTGTGAATGAACACACCAACAGCTTTTCTTCCCTGGAAAACACAGCGAAGCCAAGGAAGCAACGGAAGGATTGAAGTGGCAGAGTGGAACACCTCCAGACATGCCATGCGATTGTAAGCACAATGATTTGTGCCCGACGCTCATTAACAGCTGCTGTAACTAGTCCGGCCTACAATAGTGTGATTTGTGTAGGACCTCCTTCATCAGTTCAAAACCCCTAGAATACGTATACAGATTATACAAGTAAGATTTCT